TCTCCTGATCATTAGATGGCTGAGCTGATTAGAAAGAAGGTACAAACAAGCTTATCTCCTCTTAAAATGACCCTGCAATGAAATTCTCCGTAGTGTTTAACCAGTAAGCACTTTTATTGTTGATTTTGAATCCATTAAGGCTACATTATGTTGGATTATAAGACTTTGGCTACATCTCCCACATTTGCATGCAGGCATTATATTTGCAAGGTTTTCTCAGAAAAATGGAGCACATGCCTAAAATGCATAAAGGTTATATGATTATAACATGGAAGCAGCATGTCAATTACAGGAATTTGTACCACATGTACCAGTAACAAACCCACACCCCTATGTAAAGCTTCTTTATCCCTCAGAAATCCAGCTGCTTCCTCTGTCCCTCATCTCCATGTCCCAGCTGTCTATCAGCTCACATCCCCACTGTTTCTGAAAACACACATCTTTTTCTAAAAAAAAAATTAATAAAAATGAAAAACAGTTGAGTACAGTACATTTTTCCCCCTTAAAAACTAAAACATTTCTCCTTCACTACTCCCCTCCTCCTCCCAAATGAAAAATATATCACAACCTAAACATCTGTTCAAGCACTGTTACATGTTAGGAATCTCTATTGCATTATGCAAAAGTATATCAGTAACAAACTTCTAAACAAACTAGGATGACCCAAAATTCCCCTTACCCCAAAACTACAGAGAACTGAAAATGCTATACTGCATTATCACACTTGCATGCATGTATCCTGAGCCACCTCAATTTATTCACCTTAAGCCCCTTTTAATAAATAACTGTCCAGCAGTAACATCCAGAAGTGTGCTGTCTCCTCCAAATTAAACTCTATATTTACAGAAGTAGGGCTGTTTTCTCAGTGAAATGTTTTTTTAAAAAAAAACAACAACAAAAAGTAACAACAATAAAAACAGCATATGATCAAAGAGAGAAAGCATTTTACTGATCATGTTGTCTAAAGACCAACAGGAGTAAAAAGCATTTAGGAGCACCAGGTGCACATGCATTTGAACTGGTACAGTTCATGAAATAATGTCATTCATTGTTATGCTCACTCTTTCAGATGAGGAGCTCATTCTTTTAATTTCTTTTTTTTTTTCCTTTTTACATTTAGGACCGTCTGTTCTGCAGGCTACTCCCACAGATGGCAACACATGCACTGAGGTTGAAAGATGGCCATAAATATGCTTTGATCAATGTGGTTCTGTATCAGCTTTAAACACATAGGGTTTCCCTCCCTGCTGCTTTGCACCTTGTGTCATTTCACATCTGTGCTAAGTGTGAGCCAAAGGTTCCCTGAATCCATGTTTTTCACTTGGATTTGGGGAAGCATTGGATACTCACTTTTTGCAAGTGTCAAGTGATGCTATATGCTGGGGAATCATCCCACATGAGAACATTTCTTAGCAGTGTAACTCCTGTAATCACAACTGACATACAAGAGCTCCAAAACAAACACTGAAACATCAAGCCAGTTAGAGGGGTTTTGTCTCTTCATTTACTTTGAGACAGTTCTCAGCTGACTGACACCAGCCTTACTGCCTTGATTTCAGCTGGCCTATTTTGATTTACACCAGGGAAGAATCAAGCTCAACAGACGGTCAAATAGCAACCAGGTTCTCCTACTGCACTGTTACAGTGCCTGAGATCACTGCAAACAGATACATTTCTACACAACCAAAAGGCCTTTCTGCAGCCAGTGCAGCAAATTCACTGCCCTCAACTTTGCAAAGGCAATTCAATTTGGGTCACTTTCTCTTCTTTCCTCTTTACCAGCAAACTAAACCTGCAGTGCTCCCATCACAGAAGCTGCAACCAAAACTTGAGTTACATACCAAATGCTTAATTTTTTACAGTGAAAATGCAGGGAACTCAATTTATGCCAAATCTAATTTTCAAATCCATGGTGCTTCCCACTTTATCATATATGGATCTGATCACCTGGAAACCAAAACTGTTGCTATTCTCATTGCATTTGCAAGTTATGCAGAAATTACTAGTAGCTGTTATCCCTGCAAGACTGTCTATCCCAGCAAAAAGAAGATCCCTCTCAATTGCAAACAACAGCATATTGGATGTGTGACTGTGGGAAGTCCTCCCTAAGCCAATACCTCCATTGTCACTAGCAGTGAGACAAATTCTACCAACATTAACATCAATGCAAATCTGAAACAACTCTACTCACCCCTCCCAAGATCTGTACAGCTGCAAAACAATACAAAATCTGGCTCCCAGGCTTTTTCATTAGCTAAAGTTTACTCTTGAGCCATCAATTCTCTGCTTCAATCTCTTTGCTGCCTGCTGACAAGAGACTTGGCATCTACAGAGCAGTGGTCTGCCCCAATCCCACAATCAGCTAAAGCTCTAATGCCATGTTTTGAAATGGCATGGGAATCAGTTTTGTTGCCCTCTGCCATTTTGATTCCTGATTAGCATTTGTTGGCTAATTATTCTTACACAGCCAACATGAGAAGCTGTTAGGTTCACCTGTACATACACATTACATATGGTCTTTGACCCAGCAAGTTTATTTCACATAGGCTTCTGTAAGACCAAAATAATGTCAGTCAATGATTGCTGCTGGTAAAGCACTTTCCCCCACATCCAGTTCCTTTCACTGGTGTCAAAAGCAGAGCTTCACAAGAACTGCAGTGGAAAATTTGACTTGTTTTAGTTTTACCACCTTTCAACTGAGAAAGAAAGAGAGATAAGTAATGACTGTGTGTCACACTGGCTGTAAAAGGCCTTTCCATTCATAGGAGTGCCACTCTCGAGCAATTTTTGTAAAGGAAGAGAAACCAAACAAAAACCTACACAGTTCCCACACACAAACACAGACACACGCACACACATTCACACGCTCTTCTTTCTCCTCCAAACAGCAATCCATTCTCATGGACCAAATTATGCAGACCCTATTCAAGTGTCTAAAAAGAATGAGGATAGGGCTGAGTGCATCCCAATTCTCCCTCCTGATCACAATGAAGTCACAGGTCAGCAAAGTACTTGGGCATAAGGATGTTTCTCTTGACCTGCAGGACATTTTAACACATGCAGAAGTGCTTTGCTGGCTCAGGCCTAAATTAGGAACAGCTCCAAGGCCAGCTGGCACCCACAACTGTGATTCCACTACCTGCACCAATATATATGAGGTAAGAGCATAACTCAAGAGAGCAGAGCAGTGCAAGAGGAGAAAGAGGCTCTGTGGTTCTTCTGAGTTTATATCTGACAGCCTCAGCTGCATACACACGGCATGTCACAGTGATCAGCATAGACTGATGAGAGCTTGGTGTGGTGTTCTGCAAGTGGGACTTCCACTGGAAACAGTAAGCCTGATTTGTGTTTATGCCAGTACAACTTTACATGCCCATAATGACTGCATGAAAAAGTCTTAAATCTGGAGCACCTGCACAATACAGTTAGCATTTAATCTTAGATTTATGTGCCAATAACTACTGTGATGTGCTGCACACCCACACACAGATGGAGAAATAGGTATATGCTGTGTCATAATGCAACATATCATTATTTATACAACTATCCTAATAACACAGCCAGTGCCAAAGCGAACCAGAATAGGGATTTGCAACCACCCTCTCCAATATAATATGATAGGTAGTGGTGGAGAAAAAGCAAGCTCAGGTATTATTTTGATTCACTAGGGAATGCTCTGGGCACAACCCACTCAGGTATTGCTTAGTGAATGCTAATCATGGGCTGACCCACAGTCCCGCGTCGTAAATTCCCACCTCTGTGTGGGTGCTCACATCACTTTCTGATGACACACGGAATTGAGGTCAGGGGTGAGCAGCCACAGTATTTGGGAAATCCTCTAGCCAAACATATAAAACAGGGATAAAATCTCATACTCACACTTCACACCATGCCTCTCAACCACAGGCAGACTGCAAGTTTACATAGTACTGGGACCTGGGCTTTCTAAAGAAAGACCTGCTCATAGAGGAATTTGGACTCAATGATCTCGGAGGTCTCTTCCAACCTAATTGATTCTGTGAATTTATGTTTGAATCACAAAAGGATCTAGTTCTGCTTGGCAGTAAGATCAAAAAGGAAATTAATCTAATTAAATAACAATAGAATCAGTCCTTCAATGCTGCTGATAAAAATGACACATGCTCTTTGCATATTACAGCACCCACGGTTGAATGTTTGCTCCATTTTGGACTACATTTTCTGTAAATGAAAACTAAATATCCAGCCAAAACGTTTTTGTCAAAACTCCTCTGAACTTTGGACAAATCTGAACCCAAGTTTTGTTCAAGGTTTGGATTTCTAGATACAGTACCTGGCCTTCAGTGGTTATCCTATGCAACCAAGTCTAAACATATGCAGAGATGGCAGGCTCAAAACTGATTTTCCCAGGTGAAAAAAATATATCCCTCTTCTATGCTAGATTGCTGAGCTAGATTATTGGCACATAATCTCGTTATTGCTATAGGCTTCTTGCAACCTTCATAGAAATTCCACCTGCAGAACCAAAGGCAGAAAGTTATCTTTGCAATTGTTGATCCATATTAACATCTGGATGCAGTACTGTCAGGGAAAGGAAAGGAAATTCCTCAATTAAGTATGTTTAACCAACTTGTAGGTGGCAGCTATCAAAACCACTGACGCACGTGTACCGGCTAAAGTTATTAATGAATGATCTGACATATCAAGTCAGACAAATGTCATATCTAAATAGATCTTCAAGTGTATACATACAAAAGCTGCTACTGTATCTAAATGATCATTTTGGTTTGTTTCTATACCCCATAGCTCTGAATCTATCTACTGAATGTTTACTCAGCACGTGTGGTATAAATATATTCAAACCATAAAACTGACACTTAGCAATTTTTTTCTTTCTTCTTTTTTTTTTTTTTTTGCTGACCAGCAACAAATTCTGATATCTTTAACTGTAAACCAATACTCAATAAATATGCTGTGTTCAGCAAAGAGACATGTTTTGTCGATCAGGGTTTTGCTGCACTCTAAGCCATTGGCTGCGGGGGAGGGCGCGAAGGAGGAGGTCCAGGAGGGGCTCGGGATGGGGGTGGTCCAGGAGGTGGCTGCCTGGAAGGGGGTTGCAGAGACACAGGAGAAGAAGGATTCCGTGGAGCGTTGTTGAGGGGAACATTGTCGAGCCGTGGCAGCTTTGGTGGTGGGCTGTAAGGGGCAGACGTTCCATCCGATTTCACCCGAGTGAAGTTTATGCATCTTCCCTGGAGGTGGAGAAAAATTCATTATTTGTAAAGAGCAGGTGTTTTCATTCATCAGCAGCTAGTCAAAGGGACCATAAGCAGAGCAGCCAGGCTGCACTTGTACTGCACTCCAGTATCATTCACTGAGTCCTAGACATGACATTCAAACTGTGTACTAAAGCTCAGCACTAGAAACCAGTGCTCTCCTTCAGTTTCAGAGCTCCTGCCTACAGAGAATAGGTTTAGCCTATGATTTCGCTCACATATGCTCTCTGCTCTGCTACTAGAGCTAGACAAAACACCCCTAAAGTGACAGCTGCACCAATCATGCTTGCCTTGGTGGGATCCCTGACTGACAAAGCTGTGCTTGAAAAAAACATACACAATTATACCAGAGGAACAACATAAGCAAATACATAATCTGTAGCTTTCATTTTCACAGTGATCCTAGCCTGGTTGGTGTCCCTGCTTTGAAGGTTATACTGGGATAATACATCTATCTTCCATGCTCCTATGTAGATGTGGCTTCCCTCACAAATGCCAGCAAGGTGAGGGACTTGCACAGAAGGCTCTCAATGAGTGTGTCTTCAGAATGGATGTGGGATGCAGGCATCAGGACCTGACAGGAGCACTGTGGATGGAGATTTTAAAACAAGAGTTGCTTGGGTTTGAAAAAAAACCCAAGCACTGGAGATAGTCTAGTCAACTAGGGGCTTAAATGAAAGTATGTCAGGGTTTCCTTTAGCCAAAATAAAACTCTGCATAGGTTCCCACTAACCAAGCTCCAGACAGGAAGAGAGACAGACAGACCCCAAAGACCACCTAGCCTTTCCTCTGGGGAGCAGCCAGCAGCTCCTGGGTAATTCAAAACTTACATGGCAACCTCGGTCAGCCATCTCAGGTGGATTGCATGCTGGAATCAACCAACCAAATTCAGCTCAGGGTTATGCAACATCCCCAAGCAAATTCTGGAGGTCTCCAAATATAGAAAATTTATCTCAGGCCTGAGCAGCTGTAGATCACAATTCCCCCCAACTGCCAATGGCTGTGATAACAGGAATACAAGAACCCACACCAGTGACAGATTGCTCTTGGCTCAGTGCTGTCTGGCGTGAGAAAACTTGGAAGGTGTTTAGGGAATGGGCCGAGTTTCTGTGGCAACTCCACAAATCACAGTTTCCCTCGGAAACCAGACAAAAGCCATCACAGCAGAACTACAACTATCTGCTTTGTTAAATGACTTCCAGTGCCTGCACCTTTGTTCATGAAAGCTATTTCTTAAAAAAAAGAAGGGAATCATTTAAATCTATGGCTTCTCTGAAGAAAGGCAAGCAGCATTTCAAAAGAAACTTGTGCAAGTTCCAGAGAGCTCAGAAAATGATTCAACAAATGTACCAACACCCAAAGGGTACCACCCTACCACTTATTTGACTGGATGGCTCGGCTCAGGGCTTCAAGAGCTCAGCTGCAGACATAAGTTGTTTGAATGGGCATGTTGTTGCCTGCACATGAGACAAACTCAGTAGTTCTCTGTCCCAGCTTTCTGCATCACATTCACCACTACACTTAAACACCAGTGTCAATGAGGAGGATAAAATTCCATTTCTAAAAATCCAGGCTTGTTACAGCAGACTTCGGTTCTGAACTACATTCAAGGCAATACCATACTGGGGACAGAGCCTTAGCACAGAGGCAAAGGGCAAAAGCCAAGGTCTTGTTTACTTCTGCGACAAAGATAAACCATTGAATCAAAAAACAAAGAAGTCAATGCTTTGCTCTACTCCATCACAGAACTCATCCTCACCAGCACTGCAGTGAACAGCCATCCTTGTCAGCTATTTGTCTTCTGCTGTGCTCCACTGTATTCAGAGCACACTTGGAAATTCAGCAGTATTTACTGACATGCAATGAAAGTTACAGATATATTTAACAGCTGTACTGCAAATTCATTTAAGAAAACTCAGCCTTGATATTTACAAAGTTATGAATTTAGAACAGCTAAATAATCACCCAGGACAAAATAAATAAAAAAAAAAACAACCCAAGAAAAAGAAAAAAGGTCAGGGGTATTCAGATGAGATGCACCATATGGGGAGAGAAAAAAAATAAGGACAGAACAATCTTCCTCATAGCAAATGCAAAGCTACAAACCCAACACTAGTGCTTTTGCCTACAAGCCTTTCCTGCCTCTCTGTTGTGTCTCTCTCCAAAACATCAATTCCAAATATATTCATAGTCTATAATCAAAGGGGATCCCATAAATCTGTTTGCATTACTTTCACTTCAGTTAAAGTGATAGGCGACGTCAAACTGCTGCCAGTTTCTGCCACACTCACTGATTTGTCAGACAGATGGGTAATTTAAAGGCCATGCGCTGCATTGTGTCATGAAAAATACGGTTGGGTTGGGAGAGTCTGACAGATAGAGGCTTGGATGATCGATGTATGTATTGTGACACTTCCTCACAAAAGATTATCGGTGTTAGCCTACAATCTCATATATCAAAGACTTCTGGTGAATACTGGAGCAAATCCTCCTGAGCACTACAAGCAGCCATTGATAAAATGATGCTGAACTCTTAGCCAGTGTTAGGATTAACAGCTGAAAGGGAAAGGGAGAACAAATGATAATAAATCATAAGTGATAGTTTGGAGTGATCAAGTGTATTTCATCAGAGGATTTCTTGGTTGAAGAATTAAACCCTCCACACATCACAGTTTTCTAATAACAAAGTGCCATTGCTCTTATACCTAACATGCACATCCCTCTGGGGTTTGTTTATAAAAAAATCCATGATATTTCTCAAACAAACACGCTAACTACAGGATTTTTAATACTCTGTGTTTGGAAGAATTAAGTTACTTCCTCTCCAAAGGCATATAAAGGCTTTTAAACCCTGGATATCATTGCACACTTATCTCTGCTCTTCCTGCACGAAGGATTAACGGGGATTAAGAGCCACCACCACTTTAGTAGTGACAATACTATGTCTTTTTCCAGAAGCATAGTATACACTAAGTGTTTCAGGGAAGGTGTGAGAGTTGCAAGGTGAAGTAATGCCAGGATGATCTCAGGCACAACAGCTGTTGGTAGCTGCTTTATTGTTTTCTAGGAGGCAGATGATCTGCGAAAATCCAGTTCTGTCTGGTTTCAGCCCCACTCCCAGTGCAGCATCCCTCAAATGGTGCGACCCGCACCGCGTACTGTCATTCAAGCACCAACTGAAGGTCAGCAATGTGCCATATGGAGTTACGCCCTTACTTCAGCTCACATCTGCACAGTCTTCCTAATGCACAATTATTTTGTCTCCCCATATGTCCATCCACTTGTTAGGCTCTTGTTATGCTGCTTGCCAAATTGGCTTTTCAAAAAGTACAAACACTGAAGCAGCAGGATCTGCCCTTGTCCCGACTCCAGCTTTTATCTGAGTGTAACAATCACATGTGCAATTCAGGCACTTTGTACTTCTAGGCAATGCCTCCTCGACCACCTAGGATGTGTTTTTGTGTGTGGTTTAAAGGGGGGGGGAAGGAAGGGTGGAACCTCTTGAAAGCCACTGCATCACGTTGCTGGGCTACTTTCATCACAGTGCTCAGGACATCGTCCCCCAGCACTCATTTCCCCAAAATCTTTAGCTACTACTCAGCAAGTTTTCAATGGAAAGCAACGATTGTTAAAAGAATCCAGGCAATTCAAAGAGTGTCATGGAGAAGTCTCCTCACCCATGATACTAAGGGCACTTCAGCAAAAAGAATTTCAAAAATCCAGGCCATCTGCCAGTAGCTGTCCCATTCCTCTCTTCACTTTAATACATGCATTGGTGTTTCTTTAACAAAAATCAAATCCAGTTTCATCTCTGTGCTGGCCAGAGTGTTTGTGTACACAAAAGTATGTCTGTTTCTTATTTTTAGCTACATTAGTTGACCTAATAAAAGATATCCTTCCTGTTACAAATTTTGTTTGAGTTTCCATTCCCTCTTGGTTTTGCTTATGGAATCTCAGTGCAGCAATTCTGACTTGCAGGGTGGGTATCTGACTGAAAAAGAGTTGGCTTCACTCAGTTTACTGAATTTTCTTGGTATTTGACCTTGTAAGAATATGATACTTGCCTTTAAATTTCAGAATGGATAAAAATAAAATAATTCCTTTAAAGTTTGAGCATAGCAATCCAAAACACTAGACCACCAAACTGAAACATGAAGTAGCTCCCATTCTAAAGTATTAACTTATTTTTTTAATAAAAGTGTTGTTTAAGATGCTGAAATCCAAAATTAACATAATGTCCAATTTTGTTTACAAATGTGACTGGGATGACTCCATCAGCTTGCTATGGATGTGGTTTGTAGCTTCTCTTCCTAAATATCTATTGCTAGTTCAGAGTAAAAATGGAGCTCTAAAACTCAAAAGAATAGGTTCAGGATTTTAGGCTACCTACAAAACCACAAGAACGAGCACCTACAAAGTCATAATCACCTTAACTAAACAAAGGTTTTGATCCACACCCCCAGAAACTAATGGAGTACATGCCTTTAAGGTCAGTGACTTTTGCAAAAATTGAATCTGTAAAAAATTAGGGATTGCCTTGTCCTCTAATAAAGAATAAAAGTGTTCTAGTAGGAACACCTACACAGAGCATCCTAAAAGTATCGGAAACTCATTTAGCAAATCTATTTATCAGAGGTAGATTATGGATACAATAATTGTATAGAGAAAGAGCTGAACTGAGGTGGTACAGAGTTCCCACTACTCCTGTTCCCTGGGCAAGTGTCAGCATTAGCAGCTGGCTCCTCAGAGCCAGGATCTATGTGCATCAGCCTTTGCCAAAAGCTTCCTCACACTGCACTGCTTCACGCTGACTGTGCACTCAACATGTCATGGCTCATTAAAACCTTCATGGATTGCCTGGGAATTGCACTGATTACCCTGCAGCATACAGGCTAGAAATTAGTAAGCTGCTGGAACAGTTTGTCACATAAAACCTAAGGCTGCCTGGTTTTTGGGCATATACAAGTAACTTTTAC